GCTGTATCCCTCATTGGGCCATCTGAATTGTGATCCTGGCTCTACACCCGCTCCTGCTTGGAGGAGGTCCTTATGGCTGGTTGCCTTCCCTAGCTAGCTGTTCCCTACACCCCCAACCCCACTCCACACTGTAACAGGCAACTGATGTGTCCCTAAAGTTTGAGTAGGGGAGGTGTTTGGGCCTTGGAATATAACTTTCCATGGAATTGATACATTGATGGGTGGTTACATTCACAGAAGAAAATTAATACACATGTGCCCACATTGAACGTAATAATTATAACAGTGCTGATACCCTAAAAGTACTTCCTACCTCCCATCAGCCCCACATACAGCTAGGCTACAGAGCAAAAAGGAGGCCTCGTGAGCCTTTGGGCCCCTATAGCACTGGCAACCAGCAGACAGTTCCATCTGGGTGCTAGACCTATAAGACTCCAGTCTTAGCTGTTTTGCAGGCTGAATTCACCCTAAACCTGGTCTCATTCCCATTTTTCACTTCCTAATGCAATCTCCATCTGGACCTTCTGGCAGTTATCCTCTGGCTAAACTCATGTGCTACAGAAGATAGAAGCCTAGGCCATAAGGCAGGAGGCGTGGGTTCTACCACCAAGAGCTAAATGATCTTGGGTAGGTTTCTCTGGGCTTCACCATCCTCTCATGGGTAAACATATAATGGGCAATCAAGAAACTAACCAAGGCTCCCTTCTGATTCCAAAAGAATCAACGACTCTCAGTTCCCTTCCCCCTTCCATGAAGTTCCTCCATGCTTTCATGCTATTAACAATTGCCTCATTCTTCTCCCAGCAAACTAACACACAATGTCAGTAACCAATTTGACTCTTTTCTCTCTCCCTCAAATCCAATCAGCCACCAAATCCTGCTGGATTTCTTGGCATGCTCACTTGCCTCTGCTCCCTTATCTCTATTCCTATTGCCATTGCTTTGATTTAGGTCCTAAGCTACGTCAATGGGTTATTCTAACAGCCTGTGTTCATAAGAAGTTCCTCCCTGTCCCTCCAACCTGCCCTTCCCAGCCAGAATCATCCTGAACAAATAGTTTTACTATGTCTTTTCCACACTTGAGTATGGAACCTTCAACATCATCAGAATAAAATTTAAATTATTTAGCTCCAACTTTCAGAGACTTCCATGATCTCTTCCCAGCCTGAGACTTCAGCCTCACCTCTCCCAGTGTCCACCCAACTTCATGACTCTAGCCATATGGGCCCACACTTCACTGGACCTGTCCTTCCTCCCAGTCTTTCAGCTTCCACTCCTATTTCTCCTCTTATCTACCACACAAAATAACCAGCCTCTTTCCCTCTTTACTGAAATAAACAATGCAAAGCCAGCCAGCTCAAGGCCCATGTCTACCACATACTCTTCCTGAACATCTGCTAAGTGTGGGGCCACACACAAGGGCTGATACAGCCCTAAAGCAGCTTAGAGTTAGGAGGGGTATGGATAGAGACATACACACAAAGTGATGAAATAGCATAGCAGATCTGTATTTGATGTGATATGTACATAACAGAAGAGCAAAAATGACTTAGGGGCAATGGGGTTTCAAGAATTTGATCTACATCCTGAGGATTAATAACAGTTTATCCATCTTGCAGAACAGAGACAAAAGGTCTTTCCAGGAAGATGAAATAGTGTATGCAAAGGCAGAGAAGCACAAAAGAATAGAAAATTATTCCGCTTCTCAGTTTGGGGAACAGTGGCGATGCAGCTGGATAGCTAAAGTAGGGCCCACCACTGCAGAGCTTTGAACGCCGTACAAGGATGGTATATTTTATCCTATCAGAGAGACAGCCCTATTCCTTCTGTGTCTAGGCCTCCCACCTACCTACAAGTGTGTTAGGGGTCATGGTTACTATACAACGTAGGGCAGGGTGATTAAAAGCATCATGCACAATGAATGCTGTGTATGCATGAACATGACAGACAGAGGAAATGAAAGTAAGAATTACCAAGGATCACCAAGCCAAGAACCTTAACGCGAACAGAAATCATACATTTGCTGAAGACAAAGCTCAGAGTCAGCAGTCCCCTGGAACTCAAGGTGCTAAAGAGATCTGGGCCTAAAGCTAAACAGATTGTCCTCCTATCCTAGGAGATTATTTACCAGATGTGTGAGAGAAAAGAATGAAGCTTGTGAAGATCCACAAAGTCAAACAAGACTTGGCTTTAAGGGTATATAAAAGATAAAGCCCACCTTTCCTAGAACTACATATAGAGTACATGAAGACAGAGACACATAGGTGCCATCAAGCATTGGAACCAAAGAATGATGCTAAGAAACATAAAATCCAAGGGAAGTGGAGCTCCTCTGAGGAAGAAGGAAGCAGAAAACATAGTGACTCAGGAATACCCAAAGCTGCCAAAAGTTTCGGCCTAGTTGTGCCCACATCAAGGGGTGACTGCGTGTCACATCTTGAATGGGGATGAACAGGCTATGGAATGGAATAAATGTTTAAATACCTTGTCAGTTGCGTTTATATTAGCACTTCCTTCTTATATTTTGCATTAGGAGATCCACCAGAGGATTTCAAACACGACAGCATCATGAGCAGATTTGCATTTCAGGAAAAAAAAAAAAAAAAGATGGCCATGTCAAAAACCACTTCTAAACTTTTCTAAACTTTAAACATTACAGTCTAAAGGCCATACCATTCCTCAGGCTCAAAGCTGAATCTTCCCAGAATTGTTTCTCTCCCCTCACTTCTCATTCCATCTATCAGTCTGGAGACTGACACCTCCCATTCCCTGGTCCTCTGTCCTACAGATTCTGTCTCTCCGAAGTTTCCCTACCTATCCCCTCCTCACCACTCTCTCAGGCCCAAAATAAGGCCTCATCCCTTCTACCCTGAATCAGCCTCCCAGTTTCCCATCCAGCCTCACCGCCCCCACTGACTTTTTCCCTTGGACTTTGCTTCCCACAACACTGCCAGAACTCTGCCATTGCAGCAACTGCCTTTGGGTTTGTCAACAGAATCACCTAAGGGAACCTGATAAAAACATCCCTGACTATTTAATCTGAACATTTTACAAAACTCCCCAGGCGATCATGAAGAATAGCCAGGTTTGCAAACTTCTTATCTAAATCTTGCTATACATAGGGAAATGATCAGCATGCTCCTGGGAATCTGTTAGAAACCAAAAATATCTGGTCCCGAAGCTGACCTACTGAATCATAATTTGCATTTGAACAAGGTTTCCGCAAGATTCTGAAACTTGTTGAAGTTTAAGAAGCTCTGCTCTACAGTGTTGTCAGACCGTTTACTCCACAAATATTGACTGAATTTTCTCTGTATCAGGCTAGGAATTGGGTGGGTCAAGGACTAAGGTCTTTGACTTTGAGAAATTCACAGAATCATCAGTCAGGCCCCTGCTGTGCCTTCAGACCAAGTGCAGACTTCTGCACTGGACAGCTGGGACCATTTCCCAGCCTTGTCACCAGCTTTACTGTCTAGCACTCGACATAAGAGCCAAGCTGGACCACTGACCACTTCTCATGGTAAATCCATGCCTGCCTGCCCACACAGCTGCCACAGCCCAGGCCATACTCTACCCTTCCCTGCCTCGAAAACCCAGAAGGAATCCTTTGAGGTCCATCACATCACCCTTTCTTAAAATTATCCGAGAGTTCCCTGCTCAGATGAAAGACGGGAATTCCCACAACTTTGTTCCTATAGCCTTGTCATTGATATCGTTCAACTTAGTCTTAAAGTCAAAGCGCATCTCCCTTAGCTACCCAGTAAAGAAGGCAGCATGGTAAGCAGCTTGTCTCTCCAGTAGCAATAAGCTAACAACTGTCACATCACCAAATCTTAAAGTTGTATCACTAATAATTGATATATGTTCAATAAAACATGGATAAATGCAATCAGTGAAAACCTCATCAATCTTCCCCATCTCCCACTTCAAAGTTATTTAGATATGAGTTTAAGCAGAGGGTAAACGGGATGCCTCTCAAGGCCAAAAGAGAAATAATTTCTAAAGTAGATAACATTCAGTGTTTTTCATACACCTATAATAATCAAAGAATGAATACGATGAAGATGAATTATGTCTAAAGTCAACTACTTTTCTGTAGTTGACCATTTCACATAATACACTATAAAATTTGAAGGCACTTCAGATTTATATTATAATCAATTAAGGAGGGGGTTGAGAAAGGAGAGAAATGAAGAGAAAGGCAGGAAGTAGACCAAAATATAGAAAAGGGAGACGGAGCTATACCAGATATCCGGCTGCTCTAAAAGTAAAAATATAATTAGATTCGTTTTTTAAGAAGATTAAACACTGGCAAGAATGCCTGTCTTAATTCTACCCAAACACTGAAAGCTCTGGTTTCTAGTTATATAATCTTATTTTCCTCCGAGGAAAAACTGCGGGTCTGGAGTCTGATGTGAGGAGGTGAAGAGGAGCCCACTTTTAAATAGGACCGTCCCCATCCTGCAGTCTACTGGGAGGCAGTGGCTTTAGATTTTGAAAAGCTTGCTGCATTTTTGCAATTACACCGTAGAACTGGCTTTAGCTGAGGTGCTGCATCCAGACACACGCTATGTCCAACAGTTTCCTAGGCTGACAGACCTAAAGCTTCTGCAACCACCTTAGGCTCCCTAGTCCACGCTGTCGCTCCCGGGGCTGAGCAGGGCTGGGACGCGCCGCACAGAACTCAGGGACCCCACCTCCCTGCGCATCTCCAGGGCCACGCTGGCACCTGCAGGAGTGCGGACCGTCCGCGGATCCCAGGCAGGGTGGGGTGGAGTTTCGCAGCCAACCCACAGGAGTTCTGCCCTCCTCCCAGGCTTCTGGCCAGGGGAGTTGGCGAAGGGTCCCCGTCCTCGAGCCTGCGACACGCTCCGGGGTTCACGGAGACACTGACTCGTGGTTCGTGGCTCTGGGGCGCTCTATTCCCCAGGCAATGCCCCCAGCGGGGATCCCAAACCCGACCGCTCGGCGAGCCCGTGGTGTGGGGACAGCCCACTGACCTGGATGCGGGGCCACGGCTCCTCTCCAGGCGGCTCAGGTGTGCGGGCCGCTCCCGTGTCCCTCCCACCTTCAAACATGAGAGCCCGGCAGCGAGCAACAGGCCACTGGCCCCCCGACAGGCCCACCGACCAACTGCGGGACCTAGCGCGCGGCCAGCCAGCCGACCAACCAGCGGACCGACCGCAGCGGCCGGAGCCGGCGCCCACGTGACGGGGCGGGACCCGCGGGAGGCTCCTCCCGGAGCGCCGCGCCCCCACCCCTGGACCTGCCACGGGGGCCACCCCTCGGGCACCCGCTCCCTTTCGGGCACCGAGGCGGCCCGCCGGGCCCAGTCCGCCGGGGTTCCTGTTCCCGGGCGGGGGACCGGCCTGCTCAGCCCCGCCCCTTCGAACCTGCCTCGTCCCCACCCCTGGGCCGCGCGTCCCGGCTCCAGCCCCGCCTCTCTCGGCGGACCGCGCCCCCTCGCGGCAGCCCGCTCCGCTCCGTCCCGCCCCGCCCCGCCCTGCCCCTCTCTCTGCGCCTCCTCCCACAGCACAGCTCTGGTGGCCCGGAGGCACGGCTCGGTCCCCAGCGCTCCGGCTCCCAGGCTTCTGGACTTCTCTGGCTTTTCAGCGGCGTTCCCCGGTCGCAGGGAATGAAAGCGAGGAAGAAGGAAACTTGTGTGCGAAGAAAGCATAGAAAACCCTGTTAGAAGCACACCCAGAGCAGCAAGCCTTCGGAGCATCCCGACTTCCTCAGCCCGCGTGCGATCCCAGCAAAATTGAGATGGTCTCTGAGCCACCCTCCCTAAGCAGGTCGGAAAGCCTTGAGTCACCCCAGGTCCCGCCGCGCTCCACTCGCGACCTGGGGCGGATGTCCCTCTAGTTGTTGGCACCAAACAAAAGTTCTGTCCTGTGAAGAGCCGAGGTCAAGAAGCTTTTTCCTGTGCCCAGCACCAAGGGCTGAGACCTGAGGTCCAAGAAAAGCGTTGGCAATGTCTGACCTCAGGAATGGGTTCTCGAACTGGGGAGGACTGAACTCTGGAGACCTGGTCCAACCCCTACCTCCAGTGTGTGGCCTGAATCTGTTTTGGTTGTACTGCTTGGTTGTGGCCCTGCCTGGGCCTCCAAGGACTGGCTTCTCTGTTAAGCTGTTTAAAATCCCTGTAGGCCTCAGATGGCAGCGACACCAGGGACTCTGGCATAGTGTCCCCAGCTCTGGCAGGAGTCACCACAGCCCTGGCCTTTACTTCTCTACAGGGTAGAGAGTCAACATACTCCACAGGATACAACTTTTTCAAACCATATTTACCCTCGAGGTCTGAAATGACCAGTGGGCCCAGGAGACTTTTACAGGTGAACAGAACCTAAGCCACCCTGGCACATATGAGACGTGTGGTCACTGCGGGAACCTAGCCAGCAGCAGACCAAAGCACAGCCAGCGGGGGAGGGCTGGGGCCCAGAAGAGTTGTGTTACAACAGGACACCCTTCAGTTCTCTTTCACTTCCTTAAAATAGCCCAGAGAGGCTTTTGTAGACCGAGGCTGCCACAGTTCACACGAGTTCATGGCTGTTTCCAAATCCCACACTTTATTGCCCTAGTGGACCCACTCTCCTTAACCCAGCCTCTAGAAACTGCTAGTCTGTTCTTAAAACAATACAATTACCTTTTTAGCTTCTGGGCTGGGGCACTTTCAGGCTGCTTGGTGCCAGGGGGCTGCCCAACAATTACATTTTTAAATGTTGTAAGTCACCAGCTGTGGAGCTGCTTTGCACTTAGGAACCACCTTGGGGGAAGGGACTTAAAAAGTACTGATGTCTTGGCTGGGCGAGGTGGCTCACGCCTATAATCCCAGCACTTTGGGAGGCTGAGACAGGTGGATCAACTGAGGTCAGGAGTTCGAGACCAGCCTGGCCAACATGGCAAAATGCTGTCTCTACTAAAAATACAAAACTTAGCCAGGTGGTGTGGTGGGTGCCTGTAATCTCAGCTACTTGAGAAGCTGAGGCCAGAGAATCGCTTGAACCTGGGGGGTGGAGGTTGCAGTGAGCCGAGATTGTGCCACTGTACTCAAGCCTGGGTGACAGAGTGAGACTCCATCTCAAGAAACAAACAAACAAAAATACTGATGTCTTGATCCATCCCCAGAGGTTCTGATTTAATGGCCTTGAGGGTATGGCCGGAGCATGAGGACTCTTAAAACTCCCCGGGTGATTCTTTATGTGCAACAAAGTTTAAGAACCACTGATGTAGGTCATGTTGATGTCAGTCTTCACTTAAATCCAACAAGACCCCAGAGCTGAAAAGTTCACCTGAAAGAAGCTCCGTTCCCAAGCCTGCATACTGTCCTGCCCTGGCTCCCAAGAAGCAAAGTGGTACATTAACAGGCTTCCTGGAGAAAATGTCTTGATCTGAAAGAGTGATTCTATCTGCAGGGATTTAAGGTAGGTACCAGGGTGAGTTGTTAGGGACAACTCTGCCCCGAGGAGCTGTCAATCAAATTTGTGCCAGGTGGAATCCTGATAGCACCTTTCAGGCAACCTCCCCTCTGTGCCTCCAAAGTCCTGCAACTATGGTTGCAGGACTCACTCCTGTTGATAAATCCACCTCACTATCTTCTGTGAGGCAGCCCACATTCCTTATATCTGTGAAACAGGTAGGTAATAGGCAGGTAATACCACATTTATTTATTCATACCTGTCTCATTCCACAAAGGATTTGGGCTTTCCATACCATTCTGTTAGAACTGTGGGTAATTACACTGTATCCATGGGTTTAGTAATTCCCCTCTGCCGAAGATCTACTCAAATGCTATGGCAAAAAACATTTTCTCTTCACTGCCTGTGGTCCCAGCCTGGGCTTGGCAAAGACAGGAAAACAGCTGCAAGCACACAAAGCAAACCTTCTCATGTGATCATCCTGGAAAGACAGAGGCTTCAGCACGTGACACAGACTGGCACCAGAGCCTGCACTTGTGATTTGAACTTAGCTGAATTGGACAAACACGTGAGAAACACTGAGGAAGCTCCTGTCAAGAGGCACGCTGCCCTCTGTGCCACAGGACATGCCTGCTATGGCAGAGCCACTTGCCTGTTGTATGGCTTCTGTCCAGATTCCAGAATATTTACCAAGGGCCTCAGTGTGTTGGGAATCATTCACAGTAAACCTAATACAAGCAACACTCCCAGAAAGCTTTTATGCCTAGGGTATGTGGGCAAATGTAACCTGATGAGGTGATTTGCTCAGTGTGACTTTTATTGAATTTAAAGCAAAAAGAAAGAGGACAGCAAGACAAGAGGAGGCTAGAGTTGGGGTTCTCACCCTTAGACTGGTTTTCTGGAGGAATTATTGTCTGAGAGCCTATTGAAAGAGCTTGTGTAGACATGAAAACTGGCTAAAGGGATGGACTATTATTTTTAGGCTGAAATGGTGAACACATTGACTATAAAAGACAGGTGAACAAACGTACATATTTGATGCTTCCTTGGGCAAAGACTAAGGGATTTGTAGTATTTTCCAGCTCTTTCACTTTGTAATTGTGTTACTCACCTAAACTCTAGAATGACAGCTGTAAAGACTTGTGCATGTTTCACAAGGGTGAAATGAGAATTAAATGATGTGCAAACACTCTTCACCTGGAAAGTGACATTCAAATGTTAATATTTTTACTTTATTGTTATGCCCACCTTGATTAGTGGAAGGACAGGGCTAGGGGAAATAGAGATTAAACCTCAATAAGAAATAGTACTTCAAGCCAGGTGTGGTGGCACATGCCTATAATCCCAGGTACTTGGGAGGCTGAGGCAAGAGGATCTCTTGAGCTCAGGAGTTTGAGAGCAGCCTGGGCAACATAGTGAGATCTTGTCTCAAAAGCAAAACAGAAGAAATATTAATAGTACTTTAGTTGGCCAGTGAAAATGGGAGAATGTCAATAGACATTTGAAAAAGAGGGAAGAGTTCAGCAAAGGCCCAGGGAGAGAAAAGCCAGTGGTATTAGGGACTGGCACACAACTCTAATTGTGGCAGGGAAGAAAGCAGAGTTACAAAATGCTGGGGAGCAGTAAAAGAGAAGGCTTGAAGTAAGCTGTATCAGAATGTGGTCAGCCTTGAGAGCCAGAAGCTTTGGGTGAGTAATGGACATTGTTGAAACTTTCCTAATGACGTGCTTTCATCTAAGCTCTTGGAAGATACCTAAGGCGGTGACATCTGGGAAAGGATGCATATGTATTTCCATTTCTACACACTCTTCCTGTGTGTGATTTTAGGGATACTATATTGTGAAGGGCTGTAGCCTCAATGTCCTGTAGAACAGCTGCCGAAGCCACAGTGCTCTTTCTCCCAGCTGTCATACATTACTTCAGATGCAGCTTTCTTTTAGTCTGGAGTTTATAAATGATCTGGTTTCCTTCATTCCAGGCATAGAGCTGCTTATCTCTGGGGTTGTAATGGATCATGGAGTGACTTTTCGGTCTCTTGGGGAAGAACAAGTTGGGCAAGTCGTCCTCACTGATAGTGCCCAGTGGATCATAGACACAAGTGATGCGATGAGGGCCCTGGCCTCCAGAACTGTAGACCACATAGAGAACCCCACACAAGAGGAATGAGGCTTCAGCATCCTGGCTTCTGCATGGGGTGTCCCATGAATGTTCCACTCCCAGTGTGCCCGGCTCAATCTTTGTGAGAACCAAATGGCTATGAGTGCCTGGCCCAGAGTGGATGGCCCAGAGCCCATGTTCATCCACAGCCAGGTCAATGTAAGTTGAGGGGGAGTGCTGGTAAACCAGTGCTCGGCCTACCCCTCCTGGGAGCAGCATTCGATCTTCTACAGTCCTCTTCTGCAGGTTATATTTGATTATCTCATTAGAAGTTGCTTGATTGTGAAAAAATAGAAAACCTTTATATATCACTTGGCCTGTTCCCTGCCAGGAAAGTGTTAGGATTAGCTTCCGAGGAGCTGGCTTGGTGTTATCCTCCGTGAATGCCCGTATGTTTGCAAATTCCCAAACAGTGTTGTTTCTGGATCCAATTAACAAGTACACCTTTGGAGAGTTATTGACAGCATCTTTCATCCAAGAGCCGTGTGTGTCCATCATCTTCTTCACTATTTTCAGAGACTTTATGCCCATCAGCATGTTGTCACAGCCTGGGCAAACAGGAGAAAAAGGAGAGATTACTTTATAAACATGAGCTGTCTGCTTTCTGGAAGGCTCACCATGCTTGGCAAATCTTGTTTCCTTTCAGGTCTAATACTGGTAGGGAATATTTTCAATTCTACTGTGACTTGACAGTCCTTAGAAGAATTTCTCTTGGAAAATCCTAGATCGAACATGCAACATAGGCATGCATTTTGTTTCCTTAAAAAACAGGGCATTTAAATCCCAGCAAGAAGCCAAGCCATTCTTTCACCTCTTTATTGCCACAGATTGTTTTTTCCTTAGTTTCTATAATAGTTATTGAATGTAGATCAATCACAATTCATGGTGTGACTTGATGAATGAAAGAATAAATAAATAAATGGGTCTCTGTTAAGAGACTTGCTATCCAGTTCTAAGAGTCAGCATTTTATTCACTTCAGGATATGAACAACTATTTGCTATTTCAGAGACCCTGTTCACTCTCCAGAGCACTTGGGATTGACACAGTGAGAAGGACTTAGGTGTGAAGCCACTAATTCAATTTCATTTACCAATATTTTATTGTAGTGTGTACTTAGTTTATAATGCTCCCAGAATGGTGCTAAGTATTGAGGATAAAAAAATATGATATCAACCCTAAACCTCGAGGAGATTATCATTTAGTGAAGGATTCTGGCCCTTAACATGACTACAACATTATAAGAGCTCTGTTTATTTATTCATGAATGTATGAATGCATTTAGTTAGCAGACACTGGATACCTACAAGGGGCAAGATAATGAGTGAGGTGAGGTATTATGCGCTGGGTTACAAGGATAAATTGGGCATGGTTCTTTCTTATTAGGTACAGGACTAACTAGAAGATAGGGAGTAAAGTGGAATTTTAAGAAGGCTAGAGAAGGGAAATGTCATGTGATACAGGGAAGAGTCTGCATTTGATTTGGTCCTTGAAGGATAAATGGAGTTTTATACTCAGAGGGGAGAGGAGAACCATTCCAGACACAAAACCACTTTCAGAAAAGTCCTCTAAGATTAAGTAAAGAAGTGTAGAGTTTAAACCAATACAAGCTAATGTTTGATACTGCTTCAAACTAGATATATAAAGCAAAGTACAGTTGACCTTTGAAAATGAGCTTTAACTGTGCAGATCCTGTTAAAATTTTGATTCTCTTCTGCCTCTGCCACCCTGAGACATCAATGCCAACTCCTTCTTTTCTTCTTTCTCCTCAGCCTACTCAGTGTGAAGAGGACGATGAGGATGGAGACCTTTATGATGATCCATTTCTACTTAATGAACAGTAAATATATTTTCTTTTCCTTATGGCTTTCTTAATGACATTTTCTTTTCTCTAGCTTACTTTATTTTAAGAATAAAGCCACAGTGCTCTTTCTCCCAGCTGTAATGCATTACTTCAGAGGCAACTTTCTCTTTGTCTGGGGTTTGTAAATAAGAAAGAACCAGATCACATTCCCAATATGTGTTAATCGATGTCTATGTTATCAGTCAGTCTTCTGGTCAACAGCAGGCTGTCAGTAGTTAAGTTCTGGAGGAGTTAAAAGTTACACATACATTTTCAAATGCACAGGGATCAGCACCCCTAGCAACTGTATTATTCAAGGTCGTAGACTGAAGCTGTCTCTATGCCTGGAATCTTAAGGGCCAGGTTAAGAAATTTGGATTTTATTACATAGATAGAGAAATACTGACATTTTTGATCAGGAGTGAAATAAAGGCTGTCAAGACTGATCTATAAGGTTAAGCTGGAAGTCCTGTGTGTGATAGACACTTGGGAGGTAAACCAAAATTGGGGAAATCAATTAGTAGATTATTTCTTTAATCCAAATGGGATGATAAAGGGTCTAAACCAGAAGAAAGGAGAAAAATGAAGTAAAAAGAAGGAGTTAGATTTTTCTAGCTCCTCAGTACCACTTCAGACTACTATTCTTCCCAGCTACAGCAAATACTCTTCCTTTGTAGTATTCATGCTATGTGCCTCATGTTGTCAACTCCTTCCAGTCTAAATCATTGGCAGTCTCCAGGACACTATCCTATATGCATGGAACATGTCCACCTCTTCAATTCAATGAAACTTACTTTTAAACCACGTTAGCATCCTCCTCCAGTGACTATACTCTGAATCTCCCCATTCCCCACAACTATTCCATATCTGAAATCTAAAACTCTAATATCCCACTCACTGCAATTATTCTTCCCTTCCTCACTCCTTTGCTCATGCCCTCCAGTCCTTGGCCTCTACTTTTTCCCAGGTCATCAGCCCTCTCTTGACCTCACTTTCTTTCCTATTCTGCCTAAACCACTGTAATAGCTCTCTCACCAGCATCCTCACCCATCAACCCCAGTTATGCCACAATATCCAGCCAACAAAAGTCCCTGGCCCAGGATGAGTTCAAACATCTGCCTCTGCCCTGGGGTTGAGTGTCGATGGTGAAGGAAAATCTCACAGTGGTGTATATGGGTGCCACTACACATAAGGAGTCTCCAATGTCAGCTAAGCCCTAAATACCATACTGGTCTTCATGGTTAGCCCACCATCTCCCACATAATAGCTATCTTATATCTTCCCCACCCTGCCCCAGCCAGTCCCTTCACCAACAGTAGATTAACTCCTTTGAAAAAATAAATACCATTAGACATGAACTCTTTTCACTTCCTGTCTCCTCACTTATAAACCTTTCTTCAGTCATTCCCTTATTGCTATACTCATACACATCTTAAAAGAAACTGTGTCATTTCTCCTGTCCCAGACTAGTATGTTAACTTGTACTGTGATCTCATCCTTTCTTTACTTTTTCTAGACTTCCTTGATGAATTATCCCCTCTCTGTTATCTTTAATTTCTCCTTCATTACTAGATTCTTAGCCTTAGCTTATAAGCATCTAGCCTATATTAAAACAACAATTCACCTTCAATTAGGCACCTTTTTCTAGTTGCTTCTTTATCTCTTCCCATCATTTTGTAGGCAGCTTCTCCTGCAGAATAGGCTTTATCTGTATCTACATCTTCACATCCCATTCTTATTTGAAACAGGGTCTTACTCTATCAAAGGGTTAGAGTGCAGTGGCATGATCTTGGCTCATAGCAGCCTCAACTTCCTGAGCTCAAGCAATCCCCCCACCTCCTCCTTCTGAGTAGCTGGTACTAAAGACGCATGCCACCATGGCCAGCTAATTTTGTTTGTTTGTTTGCAGAGATGAGTTCTTACTATGTTGCCCAGGCTAGTCTCGTGCTCTAGGACTTAAGCAGTCCTCCTGCGTTGGCCTCCCAAAGTGCTAGGATTACAGGTGGGAGACACCACTCCCAGCCAGTTCTGGATTTCTTGTTGGGACTCCCTTGTCAGGGCATCTGTTGTGAGGCGAGCAGTGTTATGGAAGCAGAGAGTGGTGGTCTTGGTAGGAGCATGAAGAAACTTGCAGGTCTACCCCAAATTCTGCTGAGGTTCATATTATGGTAGGAAACAGTAGTCTTAATAAGAAAGAGCATAAGAACCCTGGGCTTCCCTCATTGACTTCTGGGTATAAAGTGTTGGAATGATAGATAGAGCATTCTGAGGAGCTCCTTCAAATTCTTTGAAAGGCTTTGGTATAAGAAGCTGGATGTGGACCAGGGACCATGGCTCACACCTGTAAGCCCAGCACTTTAGGAGGCCAAGGCAGACAAATCGCTTGATCTCAGGAGTTCAACACCAACCTGGGCAACAGAGTGAGACCCCCATCTCTACAAAAAAATACAAAAATTAGCCAGGTGTGGTGGCATGCACCTGTAGTCCCAGCTACTCAGGAGGCTGAGGTAGAAGGGTCACATGAGCTCAGGAGGTGGAGGTTGCAATGAGCCAAGAACCTGCCACTGCACTTCAGCCTGAGTGAGAGAGCCAGACCCTGTCAAAAAACAAAAAACCAAAAAAACCCGGATGGGTCAGCAGGTTGTCATTTTCTTAATAAATGCTTGGGTTCTTAAAGCCCATTGAAGGTCAGCCGGAGTCAGAGGACAAGAAACAGGATAAAGGAAAAAAGATTGGACAGGAGGAAGAGAGATGTACAGTGAGATGAGTCCCAGAGGTTCAGAGGTAAGCAAGCATGTTAGCAAACTGCTTGTTATCTGCCAGCTGTGTGGGTAGCAGTCCTATCATGCTTTCCATGTGACTATCATACTTTCTCATCTCCCTGCAAGCCTCCGTCATACCCTTCTCAGTCTGGCACGGAGAGTTACTGCTTACTCTGTGAGAAAGCAGAAGCAGTCTGAGGAGAACTATACCATATCCTGCCTGGATTACTGTAGCAATCTCCTGTGTGGTGTTCATGCCACCAACCTTGCCTCCCAGTCCAAAGCAGCCAAAGGTATGCTTTTAAAATGTAAGTCACATCGTGTCCTTTGCCTGCTTGAAACCCTCCATTGGCTTCTCATTTCACTCACAGTGAAATGGACAAAGCTCAGGTCTTTACCTCCAAAGTCACCTGTAAGCTGTTTTCCCACTGCTTCTCTCTCTGTTCTCCCACTCCTTGTCTCCCTTTTCTCCCCTACCTTGTTCATTTTGTTCCACCACATGGCTTGTACAATTGTGCAATTTCTTAGATTGTACCAAACACACTCCTGCCTCGGGGACTTGGCACTTTTTGTTCCCTCTGCTTGGAAACAAATATCTGCATGGCTTCCTCCCTTGCTGCCTTTAGGCCTGTTCTCAAATGGTCCTTGATTGTTTAGACCTTTTCCCATCACCCTATAAAAAAGGCAACCCTCTTCTCCAACTCTCTGGTGACTTCTTTACCCTGGGTCATTTTTCTCCATAGTGTTTACTATCTTCTGTCTGACATATTTTACATTTGTCATTAGCATATTATTGCTTGATTCCCCTCAAAAAATGTAAATTCTATGAGGCTATAAGCTTTGTCTTATCTGTTTCATTCACTACTGTGTGCCTTGTTCCTAGAGTAGCATCTGGCACACAGTAGTTCAGTATTTTCTGAATGAATAATGAATTTTCAACAACCA